ATGGTATATCGCTTTCCATCCTTTGACTTTCAAAATATTTGTATCTTCATACTGGATGTGAATTTCTTATAGACAGAATATAGTTGGATCATGCTTTTATATCTACTCTCCCAATTGCTGTTCTTTAGTTGTTATAAATAGAATATTTACATTTAGGGGCATCTGGGTGGCTCAGTCGGCTGAGCATCTGACTCTTGATTTTGGCTCAGGTTCTGATTCCAGAGTTGTGGGATCAAGGCTGGTGGTGGGCTCAGTACTGAGCATGGAGCCTGCTTGAGATTCTCTTACTCTCTCCCATGCGCCCCTTCTTTCACTCTCTCCTATGTGCGCCTTCCCCGCTAATGTGCACACAGGCACAAATACAGACACATTTTTTCTTTCAAAAAGAAAAAAGAACATTTACATTTAAAGTAACTATTGATATGCTAAAGCTTACTTCTGCCATTTTATTATCTTTTCTAGTTCCCTTTCTTTATCTTCCTTTGGGGTTACTTGAATATTCTTAGAAATTCATTTTGGATACCCATAGATTTTTGAGTACTTTGTACAGTTGTTTAGTGGTTGCTCTAGAGCACTTATCTTTTTTTTTTTTTTTAATATTTTTATTTTATTTATAGGAGAGAGAGAGAGACAGTGTGAGCAGGGGAGGGTCAGAGAGAGAGGGAGGCACAAACTCTGAAATAGGCTCCAGGCTCTGAGCTGGCAGTCAGCACAGAGCCCGACGTGGGGCTCGAACCCATGAACCGCGATATCATGACCTAAGCGAAAGTCGGACGCTCAACCAACTAAGCCACCCAGGCGCCCCAAGAGCACTTATCTTTTGACCGAGCAATCCCAATTCTAAAAATGTACCATAAAAATATACCTCCAAACAATACCAAAATACATATAGTCAAGGTTATTAACTGCAGCACTGTGACTATCTACATAATGGAATACTCTGCAGTTAAAAAAAAAAAGAGTGACAAATTTCTCTGTACTAATTTAAACTGATTTCTTGGATATACTGTTTTAGTGAGAAAAGCAAAGTTGAAGAGAACATTTATTGTATGATACACTTTATGTAAGAAAGAAGTAAATATAACAAAATATATACATATCTGCACACTATAAGAAGGATAAATCAGAAACTAAAAGACTAACTACCTCCACTAGGTGAGGAAGAGGTAAAAAGAAGGAATGGAAATGGGGCATTAGACGCAAGGAGAACCAACACTCCTCATTACACATGTTTAGTATGGCTTTGATTCTTAGAACAAGCAGTAATGCTTCATATATCTTCCTAAATGAAGAATTAAAACCAGGATTTGGAAGCACTCAAAATATAAAATGAACAGTAATGAATAATCTCAATGTTCTACAAATGGATAACTACACTGAACAGAAGTGCAGGGAAAAAGAAGTAACCTACGTAACTAAGGAAATGATTTTTTGGCTGAATACTATAAGGCTAAAGAAAAAAAATAACTTTATACTAATACTGTACTCTAAATTTTTTTTCACAGGGGTATGAATTAGCAGTTCTAACACAATTTATGAGGACAGGATGGATAAATGACTAAACGTATTGTACGTAATGAAAGTCAGGTTTCTGTCAGAAAGAGTTTATAAATAAAAAAAAAGGGAAGGGTAAAATAAACCTGCAGTGTTGGATTAGAATCATACTATCAATATGAACTCATGTTTTTTAAATATACATACAAACTGAAAAATGTTTTTTATGTTTTGTATTTTTTATATATGTATATATATATACACACACATATACACACACATATATATCTATTTCCTATATGTATTTTTTATTTAATATTTTATATAAATATATACATGCATATATTTCTTAGCCCTGGACACTGAGAAGACCTGGCTGCAATTATGCTCCTGCAGTAATGAGATCGTTTAGATCTTGGTTTCCAAATACCTCTCTCCAACAAAAGAAACCAGAGCTCCTTGGAGAAGCTCCTGGGTTATTGCCAATGTTGTGGCAGGGAAAATAGAAGATGAAACTTAAAACAACTTTATGGCTCCAAAAAATAAGAAAATGGTAGAAAAAAGAACAGAATGTGATGAAGGGATATAGGAACTACCCTGAAGGACTTCCCAAAAGTCAAATCTGGGACAATTTGAGCAACAAAATGAATAATAATAGTATTAAATCATATATAACCCATAAAATAAATACACAAGAGTTCATACTGATGTAAATAAATGAATAAATAAATGAAGAAGGAACGGCTCTCCTTTACTCAAAATTCCAATTTAAAAAAATGTAGAATAGGCAAAATACAAAATCACCATTGGGCAAATACCACAGTAGTAACTTCCAGGAAAGCTCTCTTTAAAATTAATGTGTAAAAGTTTGAGGAGAAACCAGATAATATATAATGTTAAAGTCTCTTCCCCAAAATATTAATTACAAAGGGGTAAACAGAATCTTTATGGTGTAGAAACCTGGCAGATAACATTGTTTATACTAAGTTATCAGGTTAACTTCCTAAAATGTGTTGGCATCTTGTACCTCCTATTAGGATGCACTGAGATGTGCAGTTAATTGGGTTTTACAGTGATTTCCTGGTTTTGATAACTGCACCATTACTATGTAGGATATTAACATGAAGGGAAGCTAGATGAAGGGTGCATGGAAAATCTCTATACTAATATTTGCAACATTTCTGTAAGTCTAAAATTATTTCAAAATAAAACATTCAGTCATTAAATGTATATTAAATGTCCTAGATTATAGACACACCTAAATTCTCACTGATATCCTGAATATAAATGTTAGAATTTTTTCTAGCACCCTTATCTACTGAAGTGAAAGCCTTTCAAATGAACTATAAACTACCTAATTAGAAGCTATAATAAAATCAAAGCATGAGTGTCCATTAAAACTCTGAAAAGGGAATAATTTCAACAGGTGTCAGGTAAATTCAAATATAAAACAATAAATATTAATTTTTTTTCCTTCTGTATTTAGGCTGCATCCACATCCCCAACCACAAACGGTACCTTTTAACTACCCAGTTATTATCCTAGTCTGTCCTTTGTCAAATAGGTTACCAATGTTAATTCCTCTTAAAAATTAACTAGATAATTCTTGGGGAACCTAGGTGGCTCAGTCAGTTAAGCGTTCGACTTTGGCTCAGGTCATGATCTCACAGTTCGTGGGTTCTAGCCCTATGTCAGGCTCTGTGCTGATAGTTCAGAGCCTGGAGCCTGCTTCAGATTCTGTGTCTCCCTCTCTTTCTGACCCTCCCCCACTCACACTCTTTTGGTCTCTCAAAAATGAATAAATGTTAAAAAATTAAAAAAAAATTTTAAATAAGAAAATAATAAACATTAAATTTTTTTTTAAAAGTTAAAAAATACTATATAATTCTTTTGAAGTGGGAGCATAGGAAGTAGTAGAGTATATAAAGGGTACAATTTTTAAAATTAGGGGTTGAAAAAGAAATTATAAAAATATTTGTGTGATTGTGTCAATATGAAAATTTGAAAACTAAGGCTGGTTTGTTCTGGAGTCTTCCTATATCAAGAGGTCCTTTTCCCAATCATTGCCTGAAGAGTGGAGCTGTACAGCTGTCCTGGATACGAGGGTACTGCTGCTACTCTTGAACATGGATGCGCACACTTTCCTTGTGCCAGATGCTACTCAATCTGGCAGAAGACTAACATCTGCTAGCCACTTGAGCTCTGTCATAGCTGCCACTGTCCAAAATGCCAACTTGTTAGCATGTGGCACAGGAGAAGAATGACTTAATGTTCTGAAGAAAACAATGATGTACTCTAGCTATTATAAATGGATTTTATCCCAGAACTCTATGCTAGATATCTTTCTCACAAAAATTTATTTCCTAGGTAGTCTCAACAATCTACTTAGTCTGAATAGTATCATAATTTTTATAGACAACATAAATTGCAATTATCATTAGTTAAAGAAATGAAAGAACTCCTAGAACCTGAAAAAGTCAAATGTATCTTCAATGCTGGTGCTTGATGGGAAGCAGGATTACTTAGCAGAAACACTCAATTCCCTAACTGTGTACCATGACATCCAGGGCACTACAGCAAGTTCACGGGAGCCTCCTTGGTTATTTAAAAATTTTAAGAACCTTCTGTCAGATATCACAAAATTACTACTATTAACTTGTTTGGATCCAACTACTTAATAAATGTGACTGCTAATGTACTTCTTTTGGCCTATGGACACTATGAAACAAGGAAGTCAAAACTTCTGTATTAGAGAATAATGAGAGAAGAGATGAAAACAGCTGTGGAAGCTGTATGAAGAAGCTTTCTAGGCATTCTCAAAGACTTTAGTGGTTAATACCATTTGTATTTTATCAACTATGATTTCACTTAAAAGTTATGGTTCTTTTAAATACAATTTGTAATATTTTCCTCTATTTATATAATGGTCAAATTAAAATTTCTGTAGAAGTCTTGGCTTTCCTTTTTCTCAGTACAGGTATATTATGATACTGCTCATGATTATCATAGGTTTCCAAATAAAAAGGCCTTTGGGAGGCCAATAAGCCACAGAGAGAAACTGAACAAGTGAGAGACAGAATGAAGAAGGGGATTAAAGTACTTTATTTAGCTAACATGAAAAGAAGTAATGAAAATAAAGAATTAAGGCAATTTACATACATAAAAGAGAGTGTAGTAAGTGTAATTAAGTAAGTTCTGAAACAAAGGATAAGAGACTCCTTTGACATTTCATGTGCCAGGCACGGAGATGAATGAGGTACTGAGAAAGGTCCAGTGAAGCTGCTCAGGAGGGTTGTGTAGAGTCAGCCCGACTAATGACAATGTGACTAGGACAGAGCCAAGAGCTGGGAGAAGGGCTTATGGTGGTAACTACCCAGGTGTTTGAACATTGATAAGTAAGTGCTTTCCTTTCATCCTTTGTAAGTCCATAAATATATATATTTAAATATATTAATATAAAGGAAAAATATATAAAATTTAACCTTAATTATAATGACTTTTCTTACCTGGATTTCATTTCCAGAACTGCAGTTATTTCTTGTTGGGAAGCCGGTAGTTGGTGTAAGAGCTTGATGATATAGTTAAAGTGTTCTAGGTCAAACACCATCCCAGCTTCAACAAACTGTAGAAGACAAAAAAAAAAAAGTCATTTTTACACAAATATGAGAGAGTTAAAAACCAGTATGTGACAACTAGGAGACTGCTGAACAAAACGAGACAAGTAGACAAGTAGAATTAAAATACACTTAAAACATCTGAAGCATATTTTCTTCCAATAGTTGAGAACCACAGTAAGACACCCTACTTTAAGAATTTAATTTATTTTTTAATGTTTTGTTTATTTCTGAGAGAGAGAGACAGTGTGAGCAGGGGAGGGTCAGAGAGAGAGGGAGATACAGAATCTGAAACAGGCTCCAGGCTCTGAGCTGTCAGCACAGAGCCTGACGTGGGACTCGAACCCACGAACTGTGAGATCATGACCTGAGCCGAAGTTGGATGCTTAACAGACTGAGCCACCCAGGCACCCCTAGAATTTATTTATTTTTATTTATTTATTTTGTTTTTTATTTATTTCTAGGAGAGAGAGAGAGACAGTGTGAACAGGGGATGGTCAGAGAGAGAGGGAGTCACAGACTGAAACAGGCTCCAGGCTCTGAGCTGGCAGTCAGCACAGAGCCCGACGCGGGGCTCGAACCCACGAACCGCGAGATCATGAACTAAGCGAAAGTCGGACGCTTAACCGACTAAGCCACCCAGGCGCCCCTAGAATTTAAAGTGAAAACGAAAATAATGCTTGAATTCAAAACTTGAATATTCTGTTTTCCAAGTTATCTCAATGAAATTATCATCCATCCATCCTGCTTTGTACTCATTTGTCTTCATCAAAGCACTGGTGTTTATACCTTATCCCAGATTCTAAGCTTCCTGAGAAGTATCAACCAGGAGCTTTTCTACAACTACTGGTGGTAATCAGTAATTTCTGGTTCAAAAAATTTTGAGGTAGGTAATTCTGTCAAGTTTTGTAAAGTGGAACTAGAGGTATTCACTGAAGTATCTGTACATCCGCTAGAGTAGTTCCAGCACTGCTCCTTAAGGGAAAACAGAGGCTTTCTTGTGGTTAGTCTGTTCTGAAATGGATGGTTGGACAGTGCTAAATACCAGTAAGCATACAAAAGTACACATTTTAATATAGTTTTAGGAAGCTATAAAAATTAGTTTTCTTTTTGTTTAGTGTCAAATATAAAATAAGTTCCTAATCTCCATGTTTCTCCCCATCTACTTCCTTTGTTTTGGTCATGATTTTCTATTTACATATTGATCTGTGTATTTACTTTTGTTATAAATGACCTCAAAGCTTTTTGATGAAGAGAGTTTTCTTTAATTATTTTTAAGGTATAAAGATGACTTCACAACTTAGAAGTCACCTGGAGTGCTTGGAATGATTTATTTAAGGGGAAGGCCTACCAGTCACTGGAGTCTGTTTATAAATCCTATTTTAAGAGAAAAAGAACATTTCTGAAAAATATTTGCATCAATAACGTAGATAAAGGTGGTTTAAGAATGTTAGTGGAAAAAATAATTTTCTTGGTTAGTCACTACTAGAGAATAAAAGAGATAAAGTAAAGCATACCTTACAGAATATATCAATTAAAGCGGGTACGGCATTCCTTAATTTCATAGTTGCCACATGCTCAAATATTTTTAGTAATATTTTCATAGCAGGCTGGATAAAACAAAAAAATTACACTCATTTTCATGTCCTCTTTCTGTACACCTTAAGTTTCTCAAATTCGTTTATGCTGAAAAACCCAAGTATTCTCTAGGAAATATTCAACAAACACAAATTTAACTGCTGAAAAACACAAGTGTTCAACAAACAGAAAAAAAATTTTTTTTTTTGAAATCTTTGATCCATTTTTTTTTATTTTATTTATTTATTTATTTTTTTTACAAATAGTTTATTGTCAAATCAGTTTCCACATAACACCCAGTGCTCATCCCCACAAGTGCCCTCCTCCATGCCCATCCCCCCCTCCCCCCCACATCCATCAGTCCTCAGTTTTTGTCAGCATTCAAGAGTCTCTCATGGTTTGCCTCTCTCCCTTTCCCCCACCATTTCCCCCTTCTTCTCCTCCTTGTTCCTCAGTTAAGTTCCTCCTAATCCTCCTATACGTGCAAACATATGATATTTGTCCTTCTCTGCCTGACTTATTTCGCTCAGCATAAC